TCCCCCCGCAATCCACGTCAGAACTGAGCTCCATAGAGTCATTAACTCAGTTCCTGAAAATTAAACTTCTTTCTTAGACCGAAGAATTATTGGACAATGATAGTATATCCTCTCCTTAGTACAGACTCCATAACCATTACAAGACTATAAACCGTTGATAAACACTCATGGGAATTTTATAGTAGTCTCGGTGAATTTTCACCTCTGAATATTTATCCTCGGAAATTCTTATGGATTAGTGCCTACTAATGGCGGAATCATGGGTCTCCCCCGGCGACGAGAAAATCATAGTTCATTTGATGTTGCGGTTTTCATGCTGGTTACAGCGCTGGGGGATATTAACGTCGTTTAATTAATAAAATACTGCGGAGAAATGTTTGCTTTTCGCGCGATGCAATCCCCCCCCCCTCCCCCCGCGCCCCTGATGGCGAGGAATTTTTTGATCGTTAGGGCGAATTAAGAGATCAGGAGTTTTAAATTGTTGGAGATCGTGAGTTTTTGTAGTGTTATGCATGCAGGCATGATTAAGTAATTCTCATGAAAAATTGCTAGATAAGTAGACGCAGATTGCTACATAAATTTATGGATTTATCTGGGAGAAAACGACATGAATTTTTCAGGATTTTTTTTTTCTGTTATATTTTTTTTTCTCGAAAATTCTGGCGAGATGAAAGTATTTCAGAATTTTATCACCCCCCTGGGAGACATTGAAAACGTAAATTAAATTTATTCGGTTCTTAAAGTGAAACACACTTGCATGCTGTAAATTAAAATTATCAGTCTCAAATCACTTCGGACTTGGAGTTGAGATAACCCATTAGTTCTGAATAAAGTGCGCGAATGGTCTTAATGGGATTTTATTAATCGTAAATTAAGAGCCTGTCCTTTCTCCGTGGTATCTGAGAAATCTAGGGGTTTTGTCGGGGGATCGTGAAAACAAAACGTTGGAGAGCATGAAAAATGTTTAATTTCGGGGGGGAAATTGTGATGAATAAATAATGAATAGATTTTTTTTTTCAATGGAAAATGTTCTGTAGAAAAAACCGATAGAATTTTATTTTTCTGTGCAACTTATTCTATTGAGATATTTTCTATAGATTTTTTTGTAGAAATTCCTCGACTCAAATTTTTCTAGTATTGTTTATTTTTTCAACCAAAATGTAATAGAATTTTCGTTAGAAGTTCAGTAGAAATTCAATAGAATTTTCTATCGAATTCGCTAGAAAATTCTATTGAATTTTCTATTAGTTTTTTGTCGATTCTATTGAAAAATTCCGCAGCGTATCTGCATTTTTCTTTCAATAGAAATGTTTAGTGGAAAATATTCTATAGAAAAAAACCCATAGAATTAGATTGTTCTATAGAACTTATTCTATTAACATGTTTTTTATATAATTTCCTAGGCTAAAATTTTCCTAGTTTTTTCTTTGTTTTTTTAACTAATAAAATCTAATAGAATTTTCTAATCAATTTTCTTCCAATCCAAATATTTAATGGAATATATTCTGTAGAAAAAAATCATAAGAATCCTCATAATGAGTGAATATTCACGGAAATGCAAAGAATATCATTTATTTATCGACATTCCCCCAAAAAATAATAAATTTCCCCCTCAATGTGGGTGGCAGACTCGTCGCAACAAAGTAAACTCGATGTTCTCCCGTATCGTTATAGAGACATCAATGCCGGAGCAGGAAGGCCGGTTGAGCGCTGTAAACTATCAGCCCACCATTTACCGATGGTATAAGAGACATCGATGCCCCCTCCCCACGACTACCAACTAGAGATTCGAATCGAGGGGAGATTAAACGCTCCTCCACATTACGTATGATACAGAGCCTGGAATAACCGGAAATTTATTCGATCCCGTTCCTTTTTCGGCTCGTAAAAAAATACGAAGCAATAGTTTAATACACAGGGCGACGATTATCGAGTCTCGTCATCTGGACCTCGTAAAATAGCTCGGAATTAATTTCGTATGGGGGGAATTTTAAAATCGGAGTAATCTGGATTGACGTTTTGGAGAGTTATGTCAATCGGTGCTTGTATGTTTGGGCTTTTTAATATTCGAGAGTTTAATGGGATCTGGAGGTTTTTGATGGAGGTGAATTTTTGAGTTGCGAGACACAGTCGGGGCCAATTATTATTCACCAGGAGGTTTGAAATTCAGTGAAAAATAGTTGGAGTTATTTTTGAGAAGCGGAACGACTCGAGAAATAATAACTCTTCATTTGATTTTAATGAAGGATTTTTATGTGATAATGCAACCGTTCTCTTCACAAAAAAAAATTAATTATTAATTATTAAATAAAATAATTAATAATTATTATTATTAATTATTTTATTTATTAATTATTATTAATAATAATAATTATTATTCATGTTATTATTAATTAATTATTTTATTTGGAACTAATAAAGTATTTATGGGAATCGAGGAAATAATTATTGATAAATACAAATTCAATTGAAGATTAAATCGAATTGAGAATAAAAGTTTCACGAATAAATTCATCTACATTGTGGGAAAAAATTGAAATCCAATGGAATTTCAGATTTTTTAGCAGCAGAAACACAAATTTTCACTGGATAATTCAACTGAAATTTCCATTTTTCAGTTATTTTTTTATTAAATTGAATTTTCACTGAAGAAATTCCCTGCAATTTCAGTGGAATTGCCACTCGATAAAAATTTTTCCTCCTTTCATCAATGTTGCGAAGAAAAATTAGCATTCGAATTTTCGAGCTCGCGATTGTCACTTCCTCGACAACTTTAATTTAATTTTCAACACCTTGCATCAGCCTTGTGCCTGATGGATCTCTCCGACGAAAAAAAAAATAAAATCTAAGACTCCATTCACCACGTTGTAGATGATTTATCGTAAAATACCAATCTCCGAGGAATTCCGAGTTGAGGTACACCGGTATATACTTTCACACAAAACTCCTCACCTCGAGTCATCAACCCTGAATGCACTAAACGCTCCGGAGTTGCCTCATCTCCGTCAACCCCGCATTAAACTCCTCTTTTCCCGTTTCCGACTGACAAATAACGGACAATCCATCACACTGGATCACCACGTTTGAAGCAACTGGTGTTAGAAAAGGCCCCGATACACTTTCATTCTTTATCCAGATTCAAATCTGTCATGAGTGCTCTCTAAACTGTCATTTATCTATTCCCAATCGTTTTTTAAAGGCGGAATTGTTACAAAATCTTTTGAATTAATAATTGTGGCTCGACAACACATCCGGTTCGGAAAATTTTCTTCATCTGGAGAAATGGAATGACTAAATAAAAAAAAAAGTGAAAAAAACACTAAATTTTTACTAATTAATAAAAGTAATTAATTTCCAACAGTTGAAATTAAATAGTTTTTACCGAGTTGGTTAGGTTTTCGAGGAATATCTCCAAATCTAGGGAGATATGGAAATGTTTGGCTTCACCTTTTTCACATCTGACCCTCATAGATGATTATGACCCTTATTCTGACCCTCATGACCCTGATTCTGAACCTCACGACCCTGATTCTGAACCTCACGATCCTGATTCTGAACCGCACGATCCTGATTCTGATCCTCACGACCCTGATTCTGAGCCTCATGACCCTGATTCTGAGCCTCACGACCCTGATTCTGAACCTCATGACCCTGATTCTGGTCCTCACGACCCTGATTCTTAACCTCATGACCCTGATTCTGATCCTCACGACCCTGATTCTGAACCTCATGACCCTGATTCTGGTCCCCACGATCCTGATTCTGAACCTCATGACATTGATTCGGAACCTCATGATCCTGATTCTGGTCCCCACGACCCTGATTCTGAACCTCATGACCCTGATTCTGATCCTCATGACCCTGATTCTGATCCTCATGACCCTGATTCTGAACCTCATAACCCTGATTCTGGTCCCCACGATCCTGATTCTGAACCTCATGACCCTGATTCTGATCCTCACGACCCTGATTCTGAACCTCATGATTCTGATTCTGGTCCCCACGACCCTGATTCTGAACCTCATGATCCTGATTATGATCCTCATGACCCTGATTCTGATCCTCATGACCCTGATTCTGAACCTCATGACCCTGATTCGGACCCTCACGACCCTGATGCTGAACCCCATGACCTTTAATTATGAAGTCTTAATATTTACATAAAAAATATTACGACCAAAACAAATAATTCCACTTGTCAAATTTTGAATGCCCTGAAATTCGCATGATTCCAGATCCTCCCGAAGACTCAATAAATCTGAGGCGTCCTGAGGCCCTGTGATGAGTGGCTACCTCAGCACTCTCTCCCCGTTCGATCACGACTCAAAGTACCCACCAGCAGCGATGCGGGAGAAGGACTCGAGCCCTCGAAAAATGCCCGGCCACATAAGCCCAAAGCAAGCGAGCATCTACCCCCTGAGTGTCCGCGTAACGGACCCCGAAGAATTGCCCTACGACCTCAGCCACGGGAATTCCCGGAGCAGCCCAGCCCTCCTGAGCCAACAGCCGCACATGAGTCCAGCAGCCCGACCTCCCCATTCCCACCAGGAGCAGGAGAGCAATGACTGCGAGCCCCTGGACCTGCGCGTCGACCACAAGAAGGAGCACCTGCGTGACGAGAATCAGAATGACATCGAGGTGCTGAATCAGAATGGCCTAGGGCTGCCTTATCACACGGTCCTCTTTCCCCAGCACCACGCGGTCCACCCTTTGGTCCTGGAGGCCATGTACAGGTCCCATCACCAGCCGCCCATCAATGAACTGCCAAAAATTCAGGTGCGAGCCCTGCCGACGATGGTCCCACTCCCCTCGAATCGCTTCTCCACGACGTCGACGTCGTCAACTGCCTCGCAGAGACCCTCGAGCCCGGCTCCCAGCCAGCAGAGTCCGGTCCCCAATGCACCGACACCTCAACCCTCGGCCAGCCTTCCCACCTACTCGGTCTCGGTGTCCAGTGGGCTGAAGCCGAAGGACCGCTACTCCTGCAAGTTCTGTGGAAAGGTCTTCCCCAGGTCGGCCAATCTCACCCGACACCTGCGGACGCACACCGGCGAACAGCCGTACAAGTGTAAATACTGCGAGAGGTCCTTCAGCATCTCCAGCAATCTCCAGAGACATGTCAGGAATATTCATAATAAGGAGAAGCCCTTCAAGTGCCCTCTGTGCGAGAGGTGTTTTGGACAGCAGACGAATCTTGATAGACATCTGAAGAAGCACGACTCGGATGGGCCGACGATACTCGACGAGGTACGGTCCAGATATCATGGGCAACTGCCCAGGGCTGACGAATCGTACTTCGAGGAGATCAGGAGCTTCATGGGGAAGATCACCTCCCAGAGGCAGGGGATACCGTACTTTCCGGGGCTGTTGGGACCCTCCGCTGATGACTTTAGGAGTGACAAGCAACAGCTGCAGATGGAGGAGAAGAGGGGCGACTCTTCGTACTTCAGCGATCGGGACAATCTCAGCAGCAGGTCGAGCAGCAGTGCCAGCAGGGCAGAGAGTGTTCATGAGGATCAGAGGGAGAGCAACACCCCACCATCACCTGGGAACAACACCTGAAGGGCTTTCTGATTGATTTTTTTATCATGAGTTACCGATTTTAATTCTGTGATGGGGTGGAGGACGATCGTGAGACTCGACAGCAGATCCTGCGCTCCAGGGATATCATCTCTTTATGTCACTCGACAGCATGTCGAAGTATAAAAATGAAATATTTAATCACATGAAATTGGGAGTGGTGAAAGTGAGAATGTTGTGCGATAAAAAAAATCTTTCTTTCGAATAGTCGAAAAGCATTTAGTTCAGCGCGAGCATCGGGTAATCTCGTAATAGCTTCATTTTTTTTCTCTCTCTCTCTCATCTCATTTCGTCAGAAAAACGAGAAAGGTATTCCTGGAAAATGTGGTAGAAATACAGGTGGATAACGTTGCAACAGATGGTGAAGTAAAATAAAAAAAAAGTTGTATCGGTGGGTAAAATTGGTCCATTCGTTCCGGTAGGAAGTGGACGGGTTGACGATGGATTTTACGACCTAGAAAGTGAATTCAGAGGCAGATAAGGGGGATAGCTTCACTGCTAATACACTCGGATAGGTTTGTCGATCGAGTCGATAAACCCTAGTTGGTGAAAAGGATTAGAAATCGAATGGGCGTGCACCGTCGACACCTCACTCAATGGACCGAACGTTTGCGAATGGGAAGGCTCCAGTTAAATATGAAATACTCCGATTAAATGTTGGAAAATATTACGAGAGAGAGAGGTTGTTAACACTTCGCAATACTTTCAACACTTTATTCTTTTTGGAATTCAATTGCGAATACTTTTGGGACAGAATTCTGGAGCCTCAGAATTCGCGTTCAGTGCACGTCAGTTTTTATTGAATATCTCGAAATCTGGGGCAGATAGGTAAATTTTTGTCATGACCTTTTTTGTAGCTCTCAATTCGCTCTACAAAAAAGGTCATTACGAGAATTTTGGTATCTCTGTTAGATTCCGAGATATTCGTTGAAAACTGGTCGGTAGGTAAATTGCATAATTTCAAATTTTTCACTTCAGGAAATCGCACCTAATGCACTTGTTCTTTGATATCGAGAGAGATATCATTGATTGATTACGAGAGAGAAAGGTTGTTAACACTTCGCAATACTTGCAACACTTTATTCTTTTTGGAATTCAATTGCGAATACTTTTGGGACAGAATTCCGGAGCCTCAGAATTCGCGTTAAGTGCACATCAGTTTTTCACGGATATCTCGAAATCTGGGGCAGATAGGTAAATTGTTGTCATGACCTTTTTTGTAGCTCTCAATTCGCTCTACAAAAAAGGTCATTACGAGAATTTTGGTATCTCCCTTAGATTCCGAGATATTCGTTGAAAACTGGTCGATAGATAAATTGCATAATTTCAAATTTTTCACTTCAGGAAATCGCACCTCATGCACTTGTTCTTTGATATCGGTCAGCGATAATTCAAGGTGCGACCGAAATATTCAGGTACTGTACTCGATAATTACTGTACTTGTCGACAAAAATGGGGATCTTCATTATTATTTGTGCACAGAATAGTAATTTTTGACTGAAGTCAATTATCATTCTCATCAGCTCATATTCGATGACAATGAAAATAAATTTGAGGCGCCCGAGTGTAATTATTTTTTACATATCCATTTTCGTGGAATAATTGAACCGAAATCTCCAACAAGTCCACCAAAAACATAATAACGAACCCAGACCGCGCCACCTCGCGTGCCTGCCCCAATAAAAAATCGCAAATTACAATTTAACAGAACCCCCGAAAAAAAGGGAATATTATCGTTGCAATTCTGGAAAGCGTGCATACAGACACGGTGTCGGTTCTGTACACATAAAAGTAAGAGAGGAAATGGCGCGATCGTGGGAAGGAGGATGAAACGTGCCTGGAAGATATTACCGTGGGCATTTCCAAGTCAAAGTGAAGGAAAAACGAGAGATATGAAAATTGTAACGGAATTCTCAGTGAATTTTTTCATCCCATTTAATTTTTTATTTTTTTCACTCGGCATTTCTCTCACTCTTTTCATTTTTCCCCCGGCGAAACGGGATGAACGCAGCATCTGCGCCTAGTTGTGCGCACGAAAGTGGGAATCCCGGCATTTCCTCTCCCCCATTCAGCCCAGTGGCAACTTTATGCTCATACCCGAGTGGAAGTGAAGTGATATGGCCTCAACTGCCAAGTATAAACTCTCTACGACGATTTAATCGGAGCGCGTGTGTATCCGACTTCTTTTTCCGCTGCAACCCTTCTCTTCGGGAGCTCAAACTTTCTAAGTGATGGGGGAGACTCGGCACGTCGGTCCGAGCCGTCTCGCTTTATTTATGCAAAACGACGCGCAAATGATCCCCTCGCCCTCAAGTAGCAATTCAGGGTTTTTATTAAATTTTTTTTATGGAATAATGCCGTTTATTCGGTTTTTAAAGGAATTTTTTGTCGACTATTTTTTTTTTCTTCTCTGATGGCGATGCACATACGCGTTTGAAAGTGGCGGCCTCGGTCTGCTCTTGCGTTACAGTTGCTGCCACGCCCCAGCATCTCCCAGGCTCATCTCGGGAAAGTGAAACGCAATAAACGCGAGACCTGGGTTATACGACACATGTTGATTGATACTTTGGTGGTACTGGGGGTTAATTCATCACCTCTACTCTCCCTCGCGAGCAAATTGCCGTTATGCGGGGATCGTTAAAGCGCTGAATACACCGGGTAATGTCGGATTTTTATTTTTTCGAAAAATGGAAGGTGCTAGGGGAGAAGGAATGTTGAAGGAAATTGGGGAAAATGAGAAATTTTGTGGATAATAGCGGAAAAAATTGAAGTTTCTGTAGTTTTGCTGTCAGTCACAGGAGATTGACATTAAATTGAATTTACGTGGGAAACAATTGTGAAATTTCATATTTTACACGACATCCGGACGATCTTACATTCTTTTCTTGGAATACCTGAAGTGGGACTGTAAATTTTGGCTTAATTATTTCGGAAAAATTAATGAAAAAGGAAAATTCAGAGGAATCGCTCTTTGAATAGCAAATTCCTCTGAATTTTCAAGGAATTCCATAAAAATTCCGGAAATTCCAAAAAATTTTGAGAAATTTTTCGAAAATTCTAGGGAATTCGCCAGTAAATATTCATTTTTTGCGTGAAAACTTAAATCGAAATCAAACTTTTTTTTCGAAAAATTCAGTCAAATGTTTTAAACTGTGAACATGAATATTTATTCCATTTTCAATTCCCAATTTTTTGAAAATTTTTCTGATTTCAATTAATTTTCTTGGAATAATTGGGCTAAAATGTCCCCTTTCCATCAATTTTCCAAAAAATTGTGAATTTTCAGTACCAAAATTCGAGATATTTCAGTCACAAATTTCTAGTACTAAAAATTCATCCCTCATTTCCAAAAAAAAACATTACAAAAAAAAATTTCGCTTCCCCTCACATTTTCTCTCTCATTTCCGCAAAAAATTCCTGAATTTTTTTGCAATGCGTTTAAATCCTCTCCTTCATTTCACTTTTTTATGCTCTCGAATCAAAATTTCCGCCGGCCTATTCATGAAATTCTATCACGTCTCGTCGAGCTCGTAATTCTATATTTTTTTTCCCTCGGAATAAGGATTTTTTTTCGCTCCCGTTTCACTTGATTTCACCGCGACTCTTTAATGCCGCACAACATTTGAGAGCGTTAGATCACCCGGAAAAAAATATGAAACGTTTTTTTATTATTATTTACGCCGCACGTACCTAAGCAAATTTCAAGCGTTCTTCGTACTTACGATTTTGTAAATAACGAGAATCACAGGATTGATATAAATAATATATATGAAGAGTTTTATGTCTCGAGTGTTAGTGTAAAAAAGAAATTTGTTAATATATCAACGTAGATTTAAACTAGAGAATAGGTTTTACGTTACTGTAGCGAGAGTAGACTTCGTATCGAGGCTCAATTTAGGTGATTAATTGGAGTTTCTCCGAGTGTATTATTGTTTTTCATTTATTACTGTAAATAAAATAAAATAGTCACAGCGAACGTCGAGAGGAAACCGTATGATAAGCTCACAATTTCGCGATTGTCGACGTCCGGTCGAACCCTGGAGTCATTCAATTGAAAAATCATTCCAGGATATCCCAGTACTTTGGCTATTCTTTCTGAAATGCTTTTATACTTTCGTAGTCGAACATCAGAGCTTTCATTTGAGTCCCATTTGAATCTAAGTTTGCAATTTTCAGGTCTGAATTTGCATTTCGATATTGAACGGTTAGAAAACATTTTAAAAATTGCAATTTTTTGAAAATTATGAGCATTTTCTATAAATAATTTATAAACAATCAATTTTCCACCATGAAATAATATTAATGAACAATATTCATATTCAGAGTTTTACCAGAAATCGATTAATACCTAAAAAAAGGTTTTTGAAAGTTTAAATAATTTCAATTATTTATTTATAAATAACAAATGTTAAAAAATGATAATTCTGGGCAAAATGTAATTTTAATGACGCTGAATATTCATGATTTTATTAGAAAGTTTACTTTTTAGAGAAAAATTGATTAAATAATTAAAGAATTGCAATTTTTGAGGATTACGAGAATTTTTTATAATTTATAAACAATCAATTTTCCACCATAAAATCATTTATTCGGAAATCGCTTGAATGGCTGAAAAAATAAGTTTTCCGAAAGTTTAAACAATTCCAATCATTCATTTATAAAAAACAAATATTTAAAAAATCATAATTCTGTGCAAAATGTTCGACGCAATTAAATTTCCAAATTTGATGATTGAAAATAGTTGAATCTGTAACTCAACGAAATTGCAAAAGATACTTGGATATCCTTAATTCGAATGAGTCTTCTTGCAGTAGGAAAAAGCCTCTCGAAGAGTAAATGATTAATTTGAAGAACGAAAGAATCGCCACATCTTCGTAATAATTTTTTTCATATTTTTATTGCGCAAAAAAACCCACCGAATGAGAATATCGAGTAAAATGAATAAGGGAATAAAAATACAATTGAACTTGTGTCCGAGCGAA